TATCTTCAATAGAAAATGATCTACAACACTATCATCTAGTCGGAAAATATACGAGGTAACCATAAGAAATTTATAAAAATAGTTTCTAGATTTCTTATTCTTTTTTTTTCAATTTAGACAAAATCTGCATGAATATAGATAGAAAGAAAGAAAACTGTAATAGATACTGATCACCAATACCTTCTACTGATCAAAATAATGAATTTAATCGTATTTAATATACAGCTAAATTTTCTAAGAATGCAATGTATAAAACAGTACGTCATCAACAAACTGTATTAATAATTATATCGCAATATTTATATCTCTGAACAAATACTGCATTATGTTATTTGTTTTCAGCTTGTGTTTATAACAAAGCAATGTATGAGATCCGATATTGGAATTGAAAATGAATAGTCCTATGAAACAGTGTCACATTTTCATTTAAAAAAATTAGATTATGATAATATGATATAAAAGAAAACTTTTTAAAAAAAATTTTCTATTAATGTGTAAGTGTTCGATGTTTATACTACATATCAAATACTGTTTTATCTTTGTGATCGTTAAACGAAAATGTAAATCCTTATGGTTGGTAGCTTGAGTGAATTTTGCATGGAACATTGAACGAATACTTTCAAAATTTTGTTCAATTAGAGAACAAATAGATAAGACTAAGATATCTTACAGATTAGTTTGTAAAATGAATGTTAAAAATCGAAGCTCATTTTAATAAAGAAGGATATGGGTGGTTGTATGTGTGAATGAAAATAAGAGCTACACTCATACCTACACCCTCATATTGGGTACAAAATTAAACTCTGAAAAAAATGATGTATGCATTCGCTTGAACATCTGAAACAGTTAGGTTATTTTGAATCAGTCGACAACAATGACTTAGTTTTGTCCGAATTCACATAAAAAGATGCAGAATTTTATATAGAATATTGTAGCATATTTTAAATTTCAGCAGATCCGTTTCTAAAAGCTCTCTTTAATTTTTTCGCATTTTTCACTTTCGCACTCAACTTTGCTGTGACGCGAAAAATCTATTCGAAAAACAAAGTCGACATTTTTGTAGAGAATTAAGTTCTCTATTCATTGACATAAAAGTCAATGTTTTCAAATAAATTGTTAAATGCTTTAAAGATAGGAAATAAAATGAGTCATTTATAGTGCAGTATCTGTTATCTTCCATTTTCAGAGAAAAATTTTATAATTTTTCAAAAGAATCTTGAATTGAATTTTCTACTGAGAGAGGTTTGCCATTTTAGCGGCAGACCCTGCACGTCTGGTAAGAAGAAATCAAATTCTTTTGACAAACAGTGATATAATAGTAGTAAAATTGCATTTGAAGAATACAACATATCTAATAATCATCTTTGTTTTCTTTTAGCCTTTTCAATAATGAAATATATCAATAAAATTTAGTTTAAATTAAAAACAACTTTATGAATTATTTAGTTTTTTTTTCATTGAGCTTCCATAATTAGTTAAATTTGTACACAAAACTTTCTGTGTAGAGAATAAAACAAACGACTAATCGATCAAATTAATATTTCTAACTTACAATCAAACTATATTTCCAGCATATGTCATAATAATGAGAAGGAATAGATAATTGAGAAAAAAAAGACGTTTTTTTTTTCATAGGTGTTGAGTCGATTCTTCAAGTTAATGTTGTTGTCGATTAGTAGATAATGATGAGTTAAGACTTGTTAGTGTTGGACATATGTAGTTCAGATAAAGAAGATTCACTAGTTGTCAGTTGACGAGAACAATATGGTATTGATACTCTTTATTTTTCAGATATAAATAAATAATGAATGGGTATGGATGAAATCAATTTTGATTGAGTGTCCTGATGATAATTAAGATCATATAATTTTTGTATTTTACTATTGCTATTGATAGCGTAGCAAAGATATAGAGCTGAAGAGATATACATGATTTTGATTTCAAATAGTTATAAAAATTTTGTGCAGAAAAAGGTTCCTTACAAATCGATTACTTTCTTTGATGTGTCATGTAAACAGTACAAGCACATCTATCCGGTTATTTTTGGGCTCTTCGTTCTCGGGATCATCGCAATAGAAAATAATAACGTACAATGCTGACGTCTAGGAGGCAAAAAACCCAAGAAAAACTTGCAAAAGGCTGCATAAAAGCGATATGAAGCGATCTTAATATTTGGCAATGGAATTTCAATTATCATAAAATAATGATGAACGGTTTCACCAAGAGTCGATTCTGTCCTATCGAAGGTTTCCATTATTTCTCCTACTAACAACAAATGATTGGATATTATTTCACCAATTTTAATTATCTCGAGTAAAAGTTGGAGGCCAAATCGTCAAAATCAGCGTTTTGTGGAATTTACTGAAGAAAAAGGAAAACTCATATTGAAGATTCAAAATCGTTTGGATCATCTCAAGACATCTATCCCTCTGATATAGTTCGAACGAATTTCTATCAACTTACCTTTCTCTAAAACATCGCGACACAGGGTACAGATTTTGTTACCGCAAAAAAAATAGGCAAAGTATGAAGATCGAATGTGTGTGTGAATGATTACATAAATGCTGTGCTTCACACCGCATAAAAAATCAATTCTACGAATTTGGTTGAATATCTTACAGGAAATCAGTGTCCTATTTCAAATATTATCGTGCAATAGAGGACTCATTGAGCTATATTTTTCAAATAGAAAGTATAGCTAATTTTTTCGACTGTGATTAGATACTAGACGATATCACTAAAGCGATCATTAAACATTCGATGAAGCATATTCCATATTTTCAATAACAATAATCAATATTGTTAATTGTTTAAGACGACCATCAAGTAAAGCAAGACAATCTTCAAAACGTCTCACACGAATACATAATTTGTTAAGAGTTGAAGAAAAGAACGTAGTTGAAGGTACATTACTAAGTACCAAAGATGGATAATAGTGTGGATATAATCTAATAATAGATAAATGTTTTAGATCTTCAAAGAATTTCAAAACATGTCCATACAGATCTGCCATATACTGTTTTAGTGATGCTTTATAAGAAGCATTTTCGAATACAAGAATAAGATCTGTAATTTATCGTCGAAGAATTCGTAATGGTGTGTCATCTAAATAAGAAATAAATAGTTATTGTCTAATCCATCTATACAATAGTTTAGAATCTAAATATTTACTATGATCAATAAGTTATTTACCTGTAAAATATCATAAAATAATCCTTCTTTCAACATTAAAGAGTTTAAGTTCAGTTAAATTAGGATAACGGGCAGCATAAACAATACTTTTCAGAGATATTAAATCAACAATAAGAGTTTTAACTTTGTGATGAATTTTTCGCAATATTGAAGTGCAGAATTGATCAACTCTTAGATCAACAGGTGCGAAAGTAGCATTAAATGATGATGTTAATACAAAATTGAGAATACTAGCGAAATCATTTTCTTGTATTATAGTATCAAGTCGTCGATTATTAACACATAATAATGAATAAAGAACATCCATATTATCGAGCTTTTTGAAAATGATAAGTAATATTTCATTAGGTAAATCAAGAAGACCAATGTTAGATTGATTCATGTTGAGTTTGACTAACGCTTTTCTTATTATGTGTATATATATACATATATGTTCATTGTTTGTTTCTGCTCGCTGCTATCATTGAATAAAATGAATGGATGACCTTGATAAAAAAAAATATAACCTGAAAAAAATAAGACAAATTAAAACTGAATTAGCGAATACATCGTCTGGAATAGATGACTTAAGTCGGAATAGATCAATCACTTTGCTTAATTCAACTTTAAGTTAATTCATTTTTTTCTATGTGTTTGAGGCTTATCTTTGATATTGTTTTCATCGGTAGTCACTGTTCTTATTCATACGAAAATGAAGAAGTCATGTTCAAAGAAAGGAAATAAAGTAATTTGGTTTTTGAAGATTTCTCACACAAAGAATGAATAACCAGATATTTTCCTGTCTAGTTTCTTTTCTGTACATTCTCTAACATTATTGTCTTCTGTTTCTCATGTCAAAATTTCTAGAAACTAAGAAAAATTTTTCGAAAAAAAAGCCATTCGAAGATGTCTATCGTCTATCAATGCATTGACTTAAGTATCTAACCTTAAGATAATTGAAGAATTTTTCAAATACTTTCGAAAGATAACATACTCGAAGAAGAGAGAGAGCTAATCACGATGTTTTTGTATAGTAGCAGAATAAAAAGAACATCTGAAACAGATCTAAGCAATAACACAAAATAAAGAAAAGATATGCATGAAAGGAATAATGAGGCAACCTTTAGCTTTTATTGTCTTGAAGATCTATCAATTTGATGCAAATAAAGCGATTTATTCTCTATTGAAAATAAGCAGAAGATACAACATATGTTCTATTGTCCACAAGGAGATTGAACATTCATACTAAAAAAAAGACTGTATTCGATATCTTCTCTCATGATGTAATAATGGCTGGGTTAGGCCGTGTGACACCTTTCGACTAATCGCCTTCATTCTACCACAGAACGAAGGAAAACGTAATAATTATCATCATGAGCACTATATTGCATGGATTACCATCCAAGATTGCAGGACGCTACCTTTAGTCTCCTGATTACGCTACTAATCTTTTCAATAATATGGATATTCGTAATATCAAATAATGAAACACAAAAACACAACGTAACACAAACATACACCTACAAATGGGAATCATCTTTCATAAGATAAATTTAAAAATTTACCAGTTTGTACATGAACAAGTTTTTGAATTCGTTCAAAACATGGACTATCACGAAACCATGGATAACGAAATAATTGATTCATATGTGGTCGAGCATATGTATTCTTTTCTAATGTTTTTGTTATTATTTCTTTTAAATCTTTTTTTGTATGTGCTACTGAATTTAATGCTCGAATACCTCGTAAACAAAATACAGTATCTCCACCATAAACATTCAAAAGAGTCATACCAAATAACCAAACCTAAATTAAATCTTATATAAAATAAATCAATATAAAAAGAGTAAAACGAAAATAAGAACTCTAGTTTATTCTCACAAGTTACCTTTAAACTATGAATATTTGTTTTAAGTAAAAAAGAATCAGAATAAAGAAAAAAAGAATAAATATTATCAGTGAATATAGTAGATCTTTTTGTACTATATCCTTACTGTTCAACTTGAATTTGATGGATGAATCTTCGCAATGGTAAAATCGATGTTTTTATCTCATGATAGGAACAAAGCGAAGATTTGAAATTTTTACAACGCTTTATCTCTTGGCAAAGTTTCGAATTCTACTTAGGATGGTCTAAAAGTTATGACCACAGCATTTAAAGAACCTTATCGAATAAGGTAACCTATTTAGAAGTGAAAAACCAAGTCTACCATGTTGTAAAGCTTTCTCAGGCACGTTGAACGGTATATAGCGAATCCTATTTTCATAAGACTTTGAAGGAACTGGTGTCAATTTACTGATAGATAACTATACACTCACACCTAAACATGATAAGTTACTCAATGTTATGGCCCTTGGCATTAATCGAAGATATTTGTAAAATATCTTTTGACGGGCTAGAATCTCATATACATAGCATCTCCGGTCATCTTGTGGGTGAGTATAGATATTGGCGTACTGCTATCTATCAGTAAATTGCCTCTACTTCCTTCAAAGTCTTATGAAGACAGGGTTTGCTATATACCATTCGAAACGCCTGAAGAAGCTCTACAATCTGGTAGATTTGGTTCTTCATTTCTAAATAGGTCACCTTATCCGGCAAGGTTCTTTAAATGCCGTGGCCAGAACTTTTGGATCGTCCTAAGTAATTCGAAGAAAACATTTTCCCAAGTGTTTCTGAGGACGATCATAAGATTAAATTGACAATGCACTATCTCAACGGATATAAGCTAAACGCTTGAACTCTTTCAAGATATTCATAACTCATTAGAACCTATAAGATATACAAAAGTCTTGACTAGAAAACAATTTATCAATGGAGAAACTTCACTCATCAGCCAATATTTACTTTTTCATTTCACTTTGTCTAAATTTCTATTTTTTGCATTAGGTATGCCGTCCACTGAATTTATCCGCTAGTCTTCAGAAAGCGCATAGATTTGAAGAGAATTTAATTCTCTATCTTATACGGCGAAAAAATCGCTTATCTAGGTAACAAAGAAATGCATGTTTCTTAGCAAATACTGCTTCTGGTCGAGTATTGTTTGAATGTCCATGGTTTTGCATCGCAAAAATCGTTTAGGAAATCTATCCTATACACTAAAAGAATTTGGAAAACTGTTCTATACGAGAAAAGGGTTTAAGAAATCTGTGCTATCCGAAGAAACGCTTCTGAAATTTATCGTAAAACAGAAGAAATGATTTTGAATTCAGAGGTTCGGAAATTTTTATTTTATTGATTTGATTTAATAAAATTTAATAGGATGATGATGATCGTCCATGTCGTAATGCAACACATGAATTTGTACAACAAGCATTAATTTTGATAGCAAGAACGAATGTTACGTGCTGATAATATAACTTATATTACAATGATGCTTGATCCACCTGGACCACCATTTAGTAAATGTATTTTAAATAATGAAAAACAATTATCTGTTTCAATATGTAATTTAATTTTGATTAAGAAACTATTTGAAAAGTTTGTGTTTTTTAGCTTCAGATACGATTGAGATGGATCAACCATCACCAATGATTACAGGTGAAACATCTCAAAGACCTAAACTTACAGCATAACGTAAAGAACATATTCTTACACCAATTGGGAATGGATCGACACCTATGCGAGTAAGTTTGAAGAAACTTAAGATATCATTTTCATATGACATATCAATGTTAATCACGCGATGTCTGTAGAAGGAGATTCAAATATCTACCCTTATACTTCAACTTTTCATCCAGTTTGAAATAAATAAATGTGTAATCATCTGTAATAAATCTTTAAATTTAGATTCCAAAACGTCCTGTATCGGACGTTATAACTGAAATGCTTGATGATACACCACGTCGTAAATTAGTAAAAACTAAGCAACAAAAGAAGAATAATATATCACTTCCTTTATTAGATAAAGATATTCTTCCTCCAATAAATAATGAAGAAAATGATCAAGAATATTTACCATTAACTCAACAAATACCTAAAATGTCAACATTTGATGATGATTTAGCTGAAAAAGTTGAACAATGTTTTCGTAATGAACAACAAACTGACATTGATATGATGGAAATTAATGAATCAAATAAAAAAATCTTCTACATGTCGTCGTTCTCATTTTCATTTTTCATTTTCAAATAATCATAAATCATCTGAAGACGAAGACGAAATAAAATCTCATTTAAATCGAACGCATCCCAAGCAGACAAACTTTTGAGAAAACGCGTTTAAACGCACAGAAATTGGCCTAAAATCAACAAAAAGTGGACGTTTTTGGCTCACACTTGAGGTTCCCGACTGTGAGGCAAAAACGCTCATTTTTCGCCCTTTTTGTGCATTTAAACGCGTTTTCAGACAAAAAACGCGTTTACACGCATACAAAAAAGAAAAAAAAGTTGTTGTG